AGATATTAAATGATCGACGTTTAAAGGTCAAGGAAATCTCAGAAATTACTAAGCTTTCTGATACAAGTGTTTGTCGAACCCTGCATGATCATTTAGGTATGCATAAGGTTAGTGCAAGATGCGTTCCTAAAAATCTTTCCGCTATTCAAAAACAACACCGTGTCGAGTGCGCGCGGTCTTTTTTGGAACTCTGTGGGTCGGAACCGATGCCTGTGATAGAAACTATTGTGACGGGAGATGAAACTATGGTTCTCTATTATGACCCTCTATCGAAAAAAGAATCAATGGAGTGGCGTCGTAAGGGTGAAGCACATCCAAGAAAATTCAGAGTCTGTCAGTCAACAAAAAAGGCGATGGCCACGATCTTTTGGGATTGTGAAAGAATTCTTTAGATAGATTTTAAAGAAACTAATACCACTGTCAGTGGGAAATATTATGCAACATTATTACATAAATTGCGAGACTGCATACGTGCAAAACGTCGAGAAAAACTGATCAGAGGCATGCGTCTTTTACACGATAATGCACCTGTCCATACTGCTGGTGTTGCACAAGTTGCCATTTTAGAGTGTGGGTTCCAACAGATAGATCATCTTCCCTATAGTCCAGATATCGCCCCCAGCGACTATTATTTGGTTGGATATTTGAAAAAGGACTTATGTGGACGGCGGTTTAACGACGAAGTTGAGTTAAAAGAGGCTGTTTTAGCTCATTTTGCAGACAAACCAAAAGAATATTTTTTTAAAGGGATTGAGTTTTTAATAAAGAGATGTAATAAGTGTATTGGAGTTAAGGGCGATTATATTGAAAAATTAAAGTAAATTGTTACTCTACTTTGTTTGTTTCATATTCAGGTCGGGAAATTTTGGCGCTGCTCTCGTGAAATGAACAAGAGCATTAGTTTCTTTTATTATTGTAAATGTTTTGTTCTTTTGGGATATTAAATATAATTATTATTATGCTTCAGCCAGCTTTTTCGCGGGAACATTCACTTACGCATACGCCAGATATTCGATACCACAACCAATACCAGGTCAGACTAGATTGTTATTATTTACTGTTTGGTCAGTTAGGATGGTGCTATTCCAATACAGGCGCCATTTTCCAGAATAGGCTCAGGAGAGCAGCTGTAGTATTGAGTCTTTTCCTTCTGTTAAATTTGAAGCTAGGTTTTGGTAAGTCTGCATCTGTCGTTTCCAACCGTTAGTTCCTTTGCTATATACTTAAAGTAGTTGCGAGTGGGTATTATCAGGCAACAAACAAAAAAATAAAATAAAAACTGCTTATTTTTATTACAAATATGTAAAACAGAAAGATATGCATATGATTTTACAGGATGAAAATATTCTGCTATAAAATGTGATAGCAAATAACTCTCGCGACTGAAGTTCTTGAGGCTCGTATCTGTCGAAAGATGCAAACTTTTAATATTCAATAACCATTCCTATCATAAAAAGAAAATTTCAAAGGCGACTTGCGATTAAAAAAGTCACCCCTAAAGTTAAAATTAAATTTAATGTTCATTAAGCGAGTAAACAAGCCGGAGGGAGGGAGGCGAACGTTTATTAATTTTCTAAAGAAACTCGATTTCCGGGAATTTCGTAGACGAAGAAAAAAAAAGCGAAACGGGTGTTTTAATTACGAGAATATCAATTTCGAATGCCGTAAACGAACCCAGCCCGACCAATTAAGCAGCAACCCTCTCTGTAAGGTCCGTTTATCGAATCCTAGATGGGTGGGTCAAGGGGAGCGAATGTCTAGAAGGAAACGTTGAGATATAAACTCGCGATTTAGTTTTCGATTTCGCCTTGGATATTAGATATGGATTATTATCGAATCCTTAACCAATTTTTAAGCATCCACTTACGAGGCAATTCTTCTGCACCTCTGTAGAGGAACTTTTTAACCAGTTTAAAACGATTTGCTTTAAGAGAGATTTGCTAAAGATCTCTTTTAATTTATTCCCCATTGTGATTCTAGCTTTAGAGATTAATTTCAGCGAGGCATGAGCCGGAATTCTTGCAAACTACGAAACAAAGGATTTTTCAACAAGATTAAAAGGCTTTTGTTAAAAACGGTTCGGAAATATGCGACAGTTTTCTTTTTTTGTTATCGCCGTTTTATTTTTGTTCTGTTTCAACAACTTTTAAACGTATTATCCGAGAGCGCAATAGTTCTATGCTTCAGGTTACAATTTAAATTAAATTTGAAATATTGCAATTTGCAATTCGCGTCTTTAATGGCGGAAATGGCGGTGTATCGTTGGAAAATAACAAGCGAACTTCGCCTCAACTAATTTAAACACGCAACTTTTCTTCCAATGTTTAACGAGGGAAAATTATTTTTCCGTAACTGCACGGCTCTTTCCTTGCGACAGTTTCCTTCCGTCAGCTTCGACTATTAAGCAATTGTATGAAAAGCTAAAGTTTTAATTAGACAACCGCGGAGAACAATTACGAGGGAACGGAATAAAAATTTAAATAAAAATAAAATAAAAAAGTAGTTGAATTTTTTGATTAACTAATTGAATACATTCGTAAGTTTTTACTTTACAGCTTTTGGAGGCACTGAAGACTCTAAGATCGAATGACAAATCAATCCAGCCTAAATATTTGATAGAGTTTCTACTAATTCAATAACATTGTTGTGTGTTGTGAAGAAAATATTAAAAAATATTTTAATTTTCAGTTTTTTGGAGATACTTTCCTGCTTTCGATTGCTAAGTAATTTCTAAGACCTCTAAGATTGAATAACAAATCAATCCAATTAAATGGCGTTGAGTATTTTTAGGAGCTAGGGAAGAAAATATATTTCACTTGACAGCTTTTTGGAGACAGTTTCCTGCTTTCCACTATTGGATAATTGCTAGGGCTTCTAATATTCAATAATAAATCAATCCAAGTGTATTTTTAGGTCCAGGGAAGAAAATATATTTCACTTCACAGCTTTTTGGTGAGTAATTGCTAAGGTCTCTAAGATTGAATAACAAATCAATCCAATGAAATGGCGTTCGACTTTTGCGTAATTGAGTATTGGCTAATGCCTGTAAGATCGAATGGCAAATCGGTCCACCTAAACATTAAATAATTAAATACCGTGATTTATTTTTATGGGCAATATATTTTACTTTAGACTAGACTAGATTAGGGCTATGGTAATTGAATGCTATTGTGCGTTTTTACTTTTACTTTATAGCTTTTAAAAACAGTTTTCTGTTTTCTAGTATTGAGTAATCCAACCTAAATACTTAATGACGTTTCTGGATTGAGTAATTCAATAATATAGTTGTATGTTTTTAGGGGGTAGCTAAGAAAAATATATTTTAAATTGCTAAGAACGAATGACAAATTCATAAGATCTAAATACTTGGAGTATCTCGATTAACTAATTTAATAGGATTTTTGTGGATTTTTAGGGACTGGGGAAAAAAATATATTTTACGTTCTAGCTATTTCCTTTTCCTGGGGTCGACTATCAAAAAGTTGAGTATTGGGCTAATGCCTGTTAGATCGAATGGCGAATCGATCCAACCTAAAGACTTGATCGAATTTCTTGATTAAATAATACTTAAGCTATTATCTTGGTTCGGGTTTAAAGGCCGTCGTCGATTGGAATTACTTCCTAACGTTTCGCTAGCACGAGTGGCGAGCTTCTTCAGAGGTCCTTCCATCTCCGATGTTGGACGTAGACTGACGATTTCTCCTGCGCAGGTTGTATTTATGCCGATTGGTGGTTGGCGGGACTTGTTCCGCTTCGGTATCTGTCTGCATGCAGGTATCTGTCCGTATGGGTTGGTTTTCTGTAAACTGTGTGGCCCAGCTTCTTACCTCGCTTCCTCACTAGTACGTCCAAGAATGCAAGTTGTTGGTCATTTTCAGTCTCCATAGTAAACTGGATGCTGGGATGCTGACTGTTGAGATGCTGCAGAAAGTTGTTGAGCTTGTCCATACCATGTTTCCAAATCACGAAGGTGTCATCCACGTACCGGAACCACGTTGCTGGCTTGTACTCTGAGGTCTCGATCGCTTTTTCCTCAAAGTGTTCCATAAATAAGTTGGCTATAACCGGGCTTAGTGGGCTTCCCATTGCCACTCCGTCCACCTGTTCGTAGAAGTTTCCCTTCCACACGAAATAGCTACCGGTCAGACAGACTTCAAAAAGTTTGTTGCTTGGACCTGGTGAACAGGATATTTCCTGTCGATATTTGCACTGGGCAGCGGGGAACACAGGATACACTTTGAGAGCTGTAAGTTACTAGCATCGGTCAACGGCTATCACAACAGACTAGTCAGGGAAGCCATTGAGATACAAAAACACCCACACAATTTCAACCGAAAGGAGGAGACCCTTAGACTCAACCAAATCTGGAACCCGATCCTTAGGAACGCTCGAGCAGTACCGATCGATATCCCGAGACCAACCGAAGCGGAACAAGTCCCGCCCACCACCAATCGGCATAAATACAACCTGCGCAGGAGAAATCGTCAGTCTACGTCCAACATCGGAGATGGAAGGACCTCTGAAGTAGCTCGCCACTCGTGCTAGCGAAACGTTAGGAAGTAATTCCAATCGACGACGGCCTTTAAACCCGAACCAAGATAATAGCTTATCAACGGGCCGCGAAAGCCTTAACCAATTTAAATAATACTTGTTTTTATGGGTTATATATTCTACTTTACAGCTCTTGAACTATCACATTTAGTATTTAATAATTTCATAGAAGATCTAGAATAAATCTATGATAATGCAATGCTATTATCGATTTTGAGGGGATATGAGAGAAAAATACATTTTTTACTTTATAGCCCTTTGGTTCTTAGTTCACTAGTAAGACTAATGTTTTAATTAAAGAGCCGGATTAGAATTCCGAAGAAGACGGCTATTAAGTAATTGGGGGTTCCTTAAACCGTTTTTATTACTGTTTCATAATCACGAGGCGAGTGCACTTTCGTTAATTCGATACGATAACTATTTCTTAACGAGAGGATTACTTGTTGCAGGAAATGAAGATCAAACCTTCACGTCGGACAAGATGTCCGGATACGAAACGAACTTGTACCTCTATTCAGAGGAGATGGAAGATCGTCCCCGCATCTCAACCCTCATTAATTCGCTGGCGAATTACTCAAATACAATACCACCGGCTACAAACGACCCCGACGCAGTACGACCAGCGGGAGGTGGTGCCCGAATGGGCACCTTAATCGGAGTTTACCTCCCATGCATTCAAAATATTTTTGGTGTTATTTTGTTTATCCGTCTCACTTGGGTTGTTGGTACCGCAGGTGTCATTTGGGGTTGGACTATCGTTTTTACGTGCTGCTGCGTCACCATGTTGACGGCTATTTCAATGTCCGCCATCGCTACTAACGGAGTCGTTCCCGGTGGCGGTAGTTACTTTATGATATCACGTTCTATCGGTCCTGAGTTTGGAGGAGCAGTTGGTATGCTCTTTTATACCGGTACGACTTTGGCGGGGGCCATGTATATCGTTGGTGCGGTCGAGATCGTTCTGGTAAGTGCAAAGGGTTATTATGGCGTTGTTGTTACTGAAACACAACGAACGCTACTTTTTTCAGGTTTACATGGCCCCATCTGTCACTTTGTTCGGTGAAATTTCCGACGAGGTTGTCAAATTTAACAATTTCCGCGTCTACGGGACTTGCCTTCTTCTGGTCATGGGCACCATCGTTTTCGTGGGGGTGAAATTTGTCAACAAGTTCGCAGCAGTTGCTTTGGCATGCGTACTTTTGTCCATTGTGGCCGTCTACGTTGGAATATTTGTCAATTTTAACGGAAACGATAAATTACAGTTCGTATACTATTCTTAGCATAACCAAATGGTACCCAGCTGGAAACGATGGCCGTTAATTACATTTTGAGTTTTTTTTGTACGGCGCCTATCGATCGTTTGGAAAACAATGGTCCAATTATCGAAAACGTCATAAAAATGGAGAATTATTTCCATCGATTTATAAAAATGAATTCGCACGATAAATTATTGAATTACTTGACCGTATTCGCATGGGAGATAAATTCGAATCGGACAGCTCATTTAAATACAAACAACCCTTTATATGTAAAAATTGATTGGATTCAGTTCGCAATTTCAAATGTAATATACCTTGGGAATAAGTTAAAAAATAGATTGGGGTCAAAACTGATCCGCCAGACTCATCGACTATAAAAACTTCGTCCTTCACAAAATAACAATAATTTTCTCGGGCTACCTGGAATTAGCCATCGTTGTAGGAAAACAAATTTGCGTTTTAAACTCCCCAGAGAGTTATTTAATTAATGTGGCAATTTCGACTTCCATTTGGGTAACAAATTGGTTTTCAGTGATAAACGTGCGACTTTAAGACCGTATAAAAAGACCGTTCATCATTACTTATTAATTATACGCAATGCAAAACAGATTAAATCGTTCGTCTGCAAATACCGCCCAATACAACTTATATGGACGGGGTACCATATTTTTTAACTCGGTGATACGATGAAAATAAATTCGTAAAGAACTAATTAATTTAAACCGGGTGATTCTACCATGCTGGAGATTCGTCGTCCCAAAAAGAGAAAACAGTTTCATATGAACGCAGGTTCGTCAAATGATGAGATTGTTGAATTTTTAACACTAAACAACGTTCACCTGGAAATAAACAATCAAAGAACTATTTTCATCTTACACAAAATTCTCCAGAAATTAAGGTTGCTGCCTTCCGTTCTGAATAACCAAATAAGCAATGACTACAATCAGCAGGCACGCTTGTATTAAATATAAAGCGAAGGTATCGGACCAGTAAAAAGGTAATTAACAGCTGATTAACACGGTCTTTCACTGACGGTTAACACAAAACTAATTTAAACGAATTTTAAAAGAGTTCATTGAAACGTTAATATAATAATAATTTTTAATTAATTCTCCAAGAAAACACTTAAGTGAAAGAGACAAATCTAGAAAATTAGGAGAGGTAGGTAGGATTTGTTTTAATTATATCTAGCTTTGACTGTTCTTACCAGGGTCCTGAGAATTATACCAATTGTGTCGCCTGGTATAGCCTATTTATAGTCAACAAGCATTTTATTGATGCTTTAGTGGATTTTTGCACGTTTATTTTATTTTTTGTCACTATTCAGGTATTGGATTTTACTAGATAAACGTTATTATTATTATTGTTGTTCTTATTGTTATTATCATTATTATTGTCGGTCTCAATTTTTTCTGCTTTGGAGATATTGGTGATGTGATATTGGTAGAGAGGAGCTTCCTCCTATCCTACTTCACCTACGCTCAAAAATTTTTCACACAATGTGACATGTCTGGAAAATTATAGACATAATATGGTTACTGCGTTAAGACGCCAGATTTGTTTTAGCTGGATAGCCAGGTCTTCATATTTTCCAACTTTCTCAGCTTCTGTAGATCTCAAATTGTGGATCAAAATTATTGCAATATCAATAATTGTCCCTTTTTTTTCCTGTTTATTAATGAGAAGGATACCTGGTCTGTTGGGAACGACCGTTGTATGTGTTATTACCGGATCATCCCAGTATAGCAGATGTGACGTATTTTCGAAAATTGATTTCGGTTCATATTTGTAAAATGCAGGCGTATCTTTCCACAAAAGTCTCCATTCTATGAATGATTTTTGCGAGTTGATTGTGCTCTCCTAAATAAGCACTATCTGCTAGTGCCCTACACTCACCCATGATGTGTTTTATTGTTTCTCCAGTATTGCTACATTTCCTACAGTTATCAATGGTGTTGATTTTGAATATGTGTTTTTCATAATTACTAGTTTTAATTACCTTGTCTTGTATTGCGAGCATAAAGCCCTCAGCTTCAGGATACGTGTGACGTTTTCGTCAGCATTTTTTATAGACTGGATGATACGGTCTGTGGATCCTAATAATTTCGCATTAATTTTAGAGACCTGGTTTCTGCAAATTTAGCTTATATTTAGAAGCCCCCTGCCACCTTCTTTTCTATTGCCGTGATGCTGGTGAGTTGGGATGTAAACATCTGAATTTTGTTAACATCTGGCGAGTTGTTCTATCTAAGCCTTCCAAGTCAGTATTCGACCACTTAACTATTCCAAAGGAACATGTGAGAATAAATATCGCCCAACTATTAATTGCGACGACGTTTTTTCCGGTTAATTTGATGTTCAATACTTTAGTCATCCTTGTTTTTTTCAGTAAACTGCTGCTTAAGTTGGGAATGGTCTATTTTCAAGTTGTGTGGTATACCAAGATATTTGTACAAAGAGCGGGTTCTAGGTCTGTGATGCCTACGAAAGATTCTTCTTCTTCGCCTGATGGTTCAAGTTTTCTTTTCTTGATTTCTATTGTTGCGCACTTATCCGATCCAAATGACATCTTAATATTGTCACTGAATGTTTTCACGGTAGCAATGAGACTGTTCAGTTTTGTTCGATTTTCTGCATACAATTTTCAGTCATCTATGAATAGCACGTGGTTTATTTTGGAATTTGCCGTTGGTTGGTGGCTTGTATCCTATCTAAGATTCATTCAGAAGGGTTGACAATGGGTTAAGTGCCAGTATGAACCACGTGGATGAAAGGGAGTCGCCTTGGAAAAAATGCCTCTTTTGATATCCCAATTATACCCAGCTTATCACTTCGAACATGTAGGTTTATTCGCTAGGTCTTCATGATGCGTATTACAATACACATTTTATTTTAGGGTCAATTTTATAGAGTTCTTGTACTGTGAATTCTTGTATGTTCTTCTGTTGAACATGTTGAAATATTTCTTCAATTATTTTGACCCAGTTTGCTTCATTATTGTAAGTTTCACCCTCTGACCAAGTTGAATTCCAGTATTTTTTAAATTTTTCTCGGTCAAGGGGGCATTTCCCAATTCTCGTCGGTGCTCGGATCTAAATCTCTGAAAAACTTTTTCCTGTGAACATGGAACTCCCGGTTCGTTGCAACCTCTTACTTGTCACGATATCTTTTCGTTTTAACAGCTTTTGAGAGCTTTCAGGTGACATGTTACTATTATTACTAAATATTTTCAGAAAATGCTACTTTATTTATCTAATTTTATGTAATTATAAAATTATAGTATTACAGATAGTAATTATCGCAATACATTTTAATAAATTCTGGGAAAAAAATGCGTAAAACTTCCACACATCGACGGACACAAGTTTTCATTTGCTACCTAAATAAAAACCTTTGTTTGGGAAGCAAAATACCGGTCATCAAAAATGCGTTGTGTCAATTATCGCGACTCTTAATTTTCCGCTAAAAAAAGGCACACAATCAAAGTAAATAACAAAAGCTACAAAAAAGTTAGTTACTAAGATACCGTCCGGGACTCTAACTTAACCTAGTAAAGTAGCCCTATATAACTATAAATGACGTTGCCATTTTTATTTCTGAACTTACGTTCATATGAACTTTTCTTCTTTTCTGTGAATGGCAAATCTTCAGCCGAGAGTTGGCTCATAATTTTTTAAACACCGTGTATACCAAATGTTAATGGAGCTTCCCTAGACCATGACTTATTTAGTAAGGTGCAATTTAACCCAACTATTTTTAGTTATTTAATTTTTTATTTCTTCAGGCATCAATAGGACACAGGTTCAAATAGCAACCTAACGATCTAATAACGTCTGCCTTTACTTAGTAACCAACGTTACAATTTTAAAATTAAAATCAAACTCCTTGTTTCTCGGTGTTTAATAGAGCGTTAATTTATTTGTAGTATGTGCGTATTGGGCAATCGAGTTCTAAAATTGGAAGCAATAGAGTATTGCCACAAAAACGAAACGGGGCTTTTATACAAAACATTCTGTCCGAATAAAACATGCGATCCGTACTTTGCCGGTCACGATCTGAAAATCGAACGTGGAATAAAAGGCCTCGCATCTGGTGTGTTCTTCGGTAAGGATTGTCGTGTGGCTCCGAACGCAAAACTTATCGTTGCGACCTTTTCAGAAAACATTTACAACAGTTTCCTCCAACAAGGACAGTTCATCGCGAAAGGAAATCATCCCCAGGATGTCGACAACTTGAGCGCGGAAACGTATAATCAAGTGTTGAACGACATCACCACCTCCTTTACTATTCTGATCGGCATATTCTTCCCTTCTGTAACTGGAATTATGGCAGGGTCAAATCGATCAGGTGATCTCAGAGACGCACAAAAATCTATCCCGATCGGAACCATTTGTGCCATTTTAACTACATCGACGGTATACTTGTCTTCGGTACTTTTATTTGCTGGTACTGTAGATAATCTGCTTCTTAGGGATAAGTAAGTACCGCTACTACGTTCTAGGCGAAAGTAGCTTTAATATATTTTGATTTTGTCCCGTATTTTAGGTTTGGAGAATCTATTGGCGGACGCTTGGTCGTTGCCAATATCGCGTGGCCCAACCAATGGGTCATATTAATCGGATCGTTCTTGTCAACATTGGGCGCCGGTCTGCAGTCCTTAACTGGTGCTCCTCGTCTGCTCCAAGCGATCGCCAAGGACGGGATTATTCCATTTTTAGCGCCGTTCGCTATATCCTCGAGCAGAGGCGAACCCACCAGGGCCTTAATTCTCACGTTATTAATCTGTGAATGTGGTATTCTGCTCGGCAATGTCGACGTTCTTGCTCCCCTTCTATCGATGTTCTTCTTGATGTGTTATGGATTCGTAAATCTAGCCTGTGCCTTGCAAACATTACTCAGAACTCCAAACTGGAGGCCCCGTTTCAAATATTATCATTGGTTCCTTTCCTTCTTGGGTCTATCACTATGCGTAGCTGTCATGTTCATGACGTCGTGGTATTTAGCGCTCTTGGCTATGGGAATGGCCGGTCTCATTTACAAGTACATCGAATACAGAGGGTAAGCAGAACTCGGAGGTCACCTCTCGATATTTAAACGTTTGGCGATGATTTCAGAGCTGAGAAAGAATGGGGTGATGGTATCCGAGGTTTGGCACTATCTGCTGCACGGTATTCCTTGTTGCGTTTAGAAGAAGGTCCTCCCCATACCAAAAACTGGAGACCGCAGATTTTAATTTTCGTGAAACTGACTGAAGATTATTTACCCAAATATCGGAAACTGTTCGCATTCGCTGCCCAACTGAAGGCAGGGAAAGGTTTAACGATTTGTGGATCGGTGATCGGAGGTGATTTTACACGTCGTTACGGCGAAGCAATGGCGGCGAAACAAAGCCTAGGAAAAACCATGGAAGAAGAAAGAGTGAAAGGTTTCGCCGAGATATTAGTCGCTAAAGATATATCGGAAGGACTTTCTAATTTGTACGAACGTCATTATAAAGTTAGAACAACCGGATAATGGAATCGTTGTAGGGTCCAGACTGCAGGTTTGGGTGGTCTAAAGCCTAACACAGTTATTCTTGGATGGCCTTATGGCTGGAGACAATCAGAAGACGATCGAACTTGGCAAGTGTTCTTGCAAACGGTTCGTAATTTAACAGCAGCCCATATGGCCTTGTTGGTGCCGAAAGGTATTAATTTCTTCCCGGATTCGGCTGAAAAAATGAACGGAAATATCGACATCTGGTGGATAGTACATGACGGTGGTCTATTAATGTTGCTACCGTTCCTGCTCAAACAGCACCGAACATGGAAAAATTGCAAGCTGCGAATTTTCACGGTGGCCCAGATGGAAGACAATTCGATCCAAATGAAGAAAGATCTAAAAACCTTCTTGTACCATTTGAGAATCGAGGCGGAGGTCGAAGTTGTTGAAATGGTAATCTCATATTCCCGGATTTCTAGGTGTTAATGGCGCGGTTTTAGATGGATAGCGATATTTCCGCTTACACCTACGAAAGAACTCTGATGATGGAACAGCGCAATCAGATGTTGAGGGAACTTCGATTGAACAAAAAGGAAAGTCTGGGTGTGGTAAGTTCTATAGAATGATAAATAGTTTTTATTTGAAAGGTGCTGGTTTATTCTTGATTGAAATTATTTTATTTAAACCGTACAAGGTCGAGACTATGGCGGATTTGGATCACTTGGCGACAGAAGACAAACTTCCTCTGGTAAATCTCGATCGCCTCGCGCCCTATCGTCTCATCGTTTATTTTTTTATGCACGGTTTACTTTAATTTCGATCATTCGTCCATCGATCTATAAGGTGGTATGAATTGCGGCTGACAAATATCGTTAATTTTAGGTTCAATCTTTGGTCGATCAACACCACCCGAATATAGACGCCAAAATACCTTCCAAGGTGCGGTTTCAAGAACCCAGCGCTGGTGACGACAACAAAAACGCGGAACCTACCAACGAGGTATCGGGGTTCGCTGACCAACATTATCACAAAAATTAAATCTAATTAGACTCGTTCAACTTCGGTTTTATTTTTAGCCAAACGCGGCGGAAGAGTGCGAAAACTCTACAAAAGAGAAAGAAGATTTATCGGAGAAAGAGAGCGCAAAAGAGTATACCAATGTGAACAATGTTAACAAGAAAATAGACGAAAGCAAAAAGGCGCCATCAAAACCGCCGTGAGCAAATCTCGTGCTACAATCAACGAAACTACGGAAATGAACTTTTCCTTTATTTCCAGAGATGAAGATAACGTGAGACGCATGCACACCGCCGTGAGACTCAATGAAGTCATAGTGAACCGATCCCACGATGCTCAACTAGTTGTTTTGAACCTGCCGGGCCCTCCAAAAGATACAAAACCGGAAAGAGAATCAAACTGTGAGCGAATAGACTTAGAAATAATATTTAACACCACATAAACCTACTTTGTAGACATGGAATTTTTGGAAGTTCTAACCGAAGGATTGGAAAGAGTGCTAATGGTGCGAGGAGGTGGTCAAGAAGTGATCACCATTTACTCGTAATCTTCTAACGGGATGCGTTGAGAAATGAGTCACCAAGTGCGTTGGTGAGAAACTCCAGTAACCAAAATCATTGATGAAAGGACAATTATTATTGCTAGTTAATCAAGAGCCGTAAGGCGTTAACAGTATTTTAAAAGTAATTTTAATAGATTGTTGACTTAAGAAATAGCGAACGAAACCAAAGAGATTGATTATTTTATTCTTAACGTGATAGATCGCATTTTCAAATCCGACAATTAATAGTCGAATCTTCTTTCTCCTCTATACTTTTATTCAATCACAACACGATATTCCATGAAGTGCTCACTTTTCTACGAGGTATCACACACCGGCCAAGTTTACGCGCAACCTGGGAGATTGATGTCGGAATTATTTGAACTCAAGCTTGGACAAATTTTAACGTCGGCTTAGTTATTTTTTTTTGCATTTTTATTGTGATTTTGATTATCTGGCTGTCTTGACGTGATAACCGACTTTTTCTAATTTTATACTATAAGTTGTGATTTTATTGGTAGTTGAAAAATATAACATACGCAATCTGCAAAAAAAGGCGTTTTGTTGGATGTACACTTTATAAGTGCCACTGTCGATACGATCAGATCTGGCACAATTTTCAGTAAATGATTTCCGAAAACTCCGGAATTAGTGATTCGTTTAATTGCTGTTTTCTCCAAAATTCAATTGAAACGGCCAATCTGTGTTTCAAAGGAAAACGAGGCGTTTTATTAGACTTTTAGACTAGTAACTGTTCAAGATTGTAAACATTACTCAATATAGCCATTCAACAATTTCACATAACGAGCCACCATGCCATTTCATTTTACATACAGTGACTAAAAACTTTCTAGGAATATTTATTTTTATTCAATAAACATTGAAGTGATGCATGCAAAACGTAGAATGATATAAAATTAATACTTGTAAGGTTTAAGAAAACGTATTTTTTCGCGTAAAAAGGTAAACAAACTAAAAATCATAAACTTAAGAGAAAACATTTGAGCAATATTAACTTTATAATGTTATATTATATTGTATCTAAATGTCAAATTACGAGTGATAAAATTTTACTATAATATATATCTGGATTTAACGCAGGTTTGTCGGGAAAACAGAATCCCAGCCCTAGCTGGGAGTTTTCTGAGGATAAACTTGTGCAATGTTAACTCGTGTCTAGCAGTGTGAGATAATTTTCCTCTGCCCGTACTACAAAGAAAATAGTATTTTCTTGTGCTGATATTTTACCGTCGTCCTCTTGGCATTTCAAAATTTTGTGCTGGATGGTAATCAAAACGTTTTGCATTTTTCATTTGCGACAAGCTTGTGCCAAATATTTTATCTATGTTTACCAATATTGTTTGTATGTTGGTAAAATAGTATTTTGATAAAAGCCATTTTGAAATGCCCAGATGAATAAGAACAAATCGGGAATACGCCCATCTTAAGCTGAGTAGGCTCAGACAGCTTGAGAGTTCGGTGTTAAAATCTGCGATTAGGTGGCACATAACATGAACTACTCTCGCATAGTAGAGAATGGTAGTGCTATAGTGATCTCAACTAGCCTTAAAGGTACCTTACTATACTGACGTTTTTGTTTATATTGATGTCTTATTCGAATGGTTCATATTTAATATTTATTGCATTTGCATTGAGAATCCATGACCATAAAGGTTGTTTAATATATTTATTATTTCTCACAATGGTTAGCTTTATGACTTCATATAAAACGTATTTAATCAAATGTTCATAAGGTTCTTCCATTAACCATTTTCTGATTAAATCTTTTAATCATTTTCAAGTATATTTTTCTGGTGTTTATTAAAAAATAATTGTTCATTGCGCGTTTTAGTGCTTATAGATTTTTAAAAATCATTTTCAAAAAGATTTCATATTCTATATATTGAATATAGTTCGAGATTTCTAACCTGTTTAGCAGATAACAGTTTTGAATATTAATATTGCATTTTCCAATTGTTCTATCATTATTGAGTAGAAGTTCACAGCAATCTTATGATTAAGGCAATAAAACAATCTATTGCTATTTACAGAAAATCTGGATTAATGTTTCGATCGCGGTCTACACGACATGCTAGCTTTTTGTAAAAATAAATATTGAATCGTCTCATCAGATAAGTTTATTTTATTAAATTATGGAAATTATTTTTTTTTAATTTTGATATAAATGCAATATTTATTAAATAGGGTAATTAATCAGTTGGTAGCTAGTTTTGGATAACGCCATTTTTACATCAACCATTTATGACTGTTGGTGCCTCTCACTTTAAATCGTGGCGTGTCATGTAGATGAACAAGAATTTATGCGTTTTGCTCTTGAAAATAGGGCCTTGGACACCCAAAATGTCCTGATATATAGTTGTTTTCGTACTCTGTTAGATACATTCAAATTTTATCGAAAATTGTATTGTGCCATCATTATTATATATCGTATTTAGATAGTTAAGTTGTTGTCCCAGGTCCTAATTTATATGGACTTTGTTAAACCATTTTCAAATTTTATTGTGACCTCTACTTCTTTGTTCATTTTTTAAATGGCTAATTATGTTATTTATTCCTATTAATTATACTTATTATTACTATTATTGACAATGTGTTCATTGGATAAAAATATAAAAACATTAAATAGTAAATAGTCGTGTTTATTCCATAATCCTAACCAAACTATTTTGTCATGAGCTAAAACAGACACAAAAGAAATGCATATCTTGGCCTTTTAATGTCTGGTTTTTATTACTGCAATATAAACTCAAGAAATTTGATATTATGTATTAACAAACTGTATTGCAATTTTGGAAACACTTGGTACCATAAACTACAACATAAAACAAAAATCATAAACATTAACTTAAAATTAAAAAACCTTTCCGATCAAAATTTATATTAATACATAAAAAACTTCCGGTTTTTGGAAATACATTCTCATTTACGTAGCTGACTTTTCTCCCCATCATTTATTATATTAACTACGCAAGTGAAATCGCGCACCAAATAAACTTGTTTTTAAATAAAGCAATTACAAATTTGCGCCGGGATTTCCAATAATAACCAACCTTTTCTCGACTCATACTTTTATAATAGGTTGCTAAAGCTTAGAAAAAATAAAGTTAATGCCACGCTGAACAGGTTTTACTTTAAGTGGGAGATGTATCTACCGGCAATTAACTGGTTGTTCTTGAAATCTACGGCAAGACAAAGAAAATACGTAGTTTAGAGAGCGTTGAATTTGTAAGCAGAACAGAATATTTTGTTCTATGGTATCTAACGTAGAACAAAAATATATGCAGATTTTAGATTACTTGCTTAGGAAAGTGCAGTACCAGGACAAACTTTTTATTATTTATATCAAATGCAGGAAAAACGAAGCATCATCTGTTTAATCTTCGGAATTTTAAGTTTTACCCAACAAATAAGAATGGACTATTAGGGTTACAATTAAATAAGTTATGAAACGGTCAAAGATTCAATAATTTATTGCCAAATATATAAATTTCACAGAAAATATATTAATCGATTTTAGAAAAGGCTTGTTCCAGGTCAGCTATTAAATCTTCAACATCTTCAATCCCCACAGATAACCTGATCAAATTGTCTGTAATACCAATTGCGGCTCTATGTTCAGGGGGTACAGAGGCATGAGTCATGACTGAAGGTAATTCTGCCAAAGATTCATATCCACCTAAACTTTCGGCAATTGCAAACACATTCAAAGCATTTAAAAACGTTTCAGCGTCTTTCAAAACTCCTTTTAAGTAAAATGAGAATGTACCGCTATGCCCACTGGTTTGTTTCCTAAAGACATCATATTGTGGATGAGATTTCAAACCAGGATATAGTACCTTTTCCACTTTTGGATGTTGTTCAAGGAACTTAGCCACTGCCAACCCATTCTTCTGATGCTGCTGCATTCTAATTGCCAGAGTCTTCAAGCCTCTATTAACTAAATAACAGTCAAATGGACTTGGGATACCTCCCATTGCATTTTGCAAAAATTTAAGCTTCTCATACAATTCCTCATTAGATGTTGTCAGTGCACCCATAATAACATCAGAATGACCGTTCATATATTTGGATAGAGAGTAGATGACAATGTCTGCTCCTAAATCTATTGGCCTCTGCAGATAGGGTGTTAAAAATGTATTATCTACTACCACAATTATATTGTTATCTTTACCCAGGTTGGCTGCAGCCTTAATATCGACAATTTTCATTAAAGGATTTGTAGGTGTCTCGACCCATATAAGTTTAGTGTTTGATTTAATTGAATTTTTGACAACTGCTAGATTTGTAAAATCTACAAAACTCACGTCCAGACCAAATTTAGTGGCTACTTGGCGAAAAAGTCGTCCAGTTCCTCCATAAACATCATCTCCACATATAACATGATCTCCATTATTAAATAACCCCAATAATGTTGAATGTGTTGCTAATCCAGAAGCAAATGTTAAACCATACTTTGCATTATCTAGGTTTGCTAACACTTGCTCTAAAATGTTTCTAGTTGGATTTCCAGACCTTCCATATTCATACTGCTTAGGCTTCGCAGGTCCATATTGCTTAAATGTTGTAGAAGTCACTAGTGGTGGAACGATAGCCATCGAGTCCCACTGGTCAGCTTCTTGTGAGTGGTGAATTGCGGTTGTGGCAAAGCCTTTTGGAAATGGCAAAAATTCTTGTTCATTACTCATGTCTCTGGTAATTTCCAATAGCGATTTATTAAAAAAAAAATCTGAAAAATAAATATATTCAAAATTCACTTTGGTTTAAGAAATATTTGAAGCGACGTAAGAAACAAAACTTAAAAACGTTATGGTTAAAATGTAATGTCATCCAATAAACGTTAATTGAAATAAATTGGCACTTAAAAAACAATTAATGCAATTAGGTACTTACTTATGTCTGCATATGGCTAAAGTGACAAATCACGAAAATTGTTTAAAGGGGATTTATTTGACAAATCCCCTGATAATTTTTATTTTTATGACGTATTGGTATTACAACATGCTGTACGCGTGATCGCTAATGACCTGAAATTTCATCATTCTAATCGCATTTCGCCGACAAGGGACAACTTGCAACAGCGCAACCTTGTTGCCACATTGAAATTCGCAAAACTGAGCGAAAAACGCGAAAATTGCCAAAAATAGGCACTGACGATTATCAGAGGATATTTAAAAATACCTATTCCGAGTTTTTCAATCGACATTTTTTGCGCGTATTTTTCACACACACATAGCGACATGACAAATTGCAAAATCGATGCCAAATATAATATAAATAATTATTAATAACAGAGAATATTAGTCACGATGGGGTTACGGGCATTAATTGGCATCTCAAAAAATTTTCAGATTACTAATGAGCCAGTTTTCACTTTTCCACCACATATTCGTTTAAGTGCTATTTGACTTTTGGAGACAAAATCTCCAGCTGGCGCCACCTTGCAGTGAATTTATGGAAACCATCAAAACTTTAATTTCAAGTTTTTGTCCTTTTTCATCGCTCCCTCACAGAATTTGGGAATTAATTTTGTTGAAAAGATCAACTTATTTGTCATAAACATTCTAACATTTGTGTTTAACGCCTAACTTATATCTACGTTTTGGAGAGATGGGGAAATGCATCCACATCCTACGCCCACAACCATACAAAGAATTCGTTAAACCTTGACGTTAACTGGATAGTCAATTTAAAACACGTTGATTAGCTCCTGTATTGCCTCAAGCAATGAAACAATCATTTTTGGTAATGTTAAATAACGTTTGTTAATTAATTGATTGGATTGGAATGGACTTATTGATTACTGGTTTAGTATTCTTGGTTTAAATAAAACCAGGTGACCAAAGATCAATGTTTTGTTAGCGATATGAGTTCTGCGTTATGCACACAAAAAAATAAAATGGGCTAAAATTGTTATAGATATATTTATTCATCAAATATGCACGACTAGCAAGACGAAATGATGTCAAATGAAAGAGATATTTTGAAGGTAGAAAATGAAAACAAATTGAAGCTAGGAGGGCAATCATGTAGTAAAATACATAACAGGGTCGGTCAAAAATTAACACCCGAAAAATCGGAAAACAGGGTATATAGATTAAAAGAGATAATTCAAGAAAATTTGATAGGATGTGACCTGACTATATGCATATTCAAAGCGGCCGTACGCTCATATAGGGTTGAAAGTTGCTTACGTCCATTTCCACCATGTTTTACAACAGGAGAAAATGAAAAAGATTTTAAAAAACTAGTAAGTGCAAATGCCTAGGTAGCTTTTAATTAGAGAAAAATTCCTATTGCTTTTTAATCTATAGAGAATTGCCTGTAATAAAATACCACCACTTCAAGATTTTCTTAAGCAACCACCAAATCAGTGTCCCGATGATGTTTCGAATATATTAACTTGGTTATTTACGGATTCAGGATTACCGGTATTGAAACTGTGTAAAATAGTAAGTACATTCCTGGTGGAAATTTATGATTAAGTATTATGAATTATGTTATAATATAGGAAGACACCCCCCTAATGAATGAGAAACATTTGTATAAAGCACCACCAAAATATGTTTTTGAAGTCAATTTCACTCCAAAGGTTAATCAAACTTGGGAAAACCGCATTAAACAAAGAGAAGTGTTTTATGCCTTTCATGGCAGTTCAACTGACAACTTTTATTCGATATTGAAATTCGGGCTGCAACAACATTTTAGTACTGGAAAAGTATATTTACTATGAGCATTAAGATGCAAATATGTTAAAAACAATTTTTTACAGGAAGTGTTATTTGGAAATGGCATATACTTATCCACAGAACTCTCGGTCTGTACAAATTATGCTCCATTTTGTTCAACCTGGTCGAAAAGTATCCTCGGTAATAGACACAGTATTATCGCGCAATGTGAAATTATCAATGACGAAAATGAAGTTAAGTGTAAAGGTGAATTAAATGACATTGTATTATTTCTACATTATAGTTCAAAACTATATTTTCAGATGAAAAAAACAAAAAGAGAGCAGTAAACACCAACAGCCTAGGTGAAATACCCGAAAAATATTACGTGGTTACTAATAGCGAATTAGTTAAGGTAAAATATTTGTTAGTATACACATATAAAAGTACCCCATTTATGAAACCTTTTATTAAAAAAAACTTTTTCTGGATTGCGTTGATTTTCTATTGTATTATGTTAGGTTTGGTAGGATTTTTTAATAGCCCATATTGGCGAAAATTTGTTAGATCTATTGGCTTTTAAATAAATATAAACCGTAAACAACTGTTTTTTTAACGTTTCCACTACAAATTTCGGATATATATATATATATATATATATATATATATATATATATATATATATATATATATATATATATATATATATATATATATATATATAAATCTTTTAATCGTTGAAAATTAAAAGAGTAACACTGATACTATTCTGTAGAGATCAAAACATGTACCAGGTAAAAATTTTATAATCGCAATAAAATGGATCTAATGACTTAACTCTAGGGGTATTCACAATTAAACGGTTTTAAAGATAATGAAATAAAAATTGATTTTGAACTAAAGCTAAAAAATGTGAAAAGATTGTTTGCGAGAATAAACAATTAATTAATTTGTAACAAGTCTTTAAGTGCAAGGACATTTTTTGTTGGACAAGCAATTAAAGTTGACGACGATTGTTGATATTTTAAAAATAATAAAAGAACTTGGTTTGGATAGAGGGTTGGTTTAGAAAATACAGGTTTAGAGTTTTGCATCAGTATTAAAACAAATCACAAGTATTTATGTCATTTTGGTATTGTACTGAAAAAGATGATGCATAGACAATTAATGAGAGTTGTTGAGTTGTATTTAAATTTATTACATATAAAAAAAATCAAAAAATTCTGAAACGTTACTTTACCTTCATATTAATGTAATATAGGCACAGACGGATTACTGATTTGTATTAGGAAATTTAAAAACTTGGGGTAAAAATTTTAGATCAAAAATACCAAGAACGACCAACCATATTATGGCAGAGAATAATAGTGCAGAACGGACAGCAGATCAGACAAAAAAAATTAGGATTCAAAAGTAGCCGTAAAAGAATCTTGGATAAATAAAAGAACAGTTAAATCAAAATCAAAACATGTTTTCTTTTAATATAAATATTATTACGAACCAACGTGACCATCTGTCTAAACCACAAAATCAATAACATACCTAAATAGAATAGATCAGTTCTTAAAAGGAGATAAGTTAATGAGTTTTTGCTGGTAACTAACAGAGACAACGTTTCGACCAGACACTAGAATTTTTCGGAATACGTCAACTTGATGAAATTACAAACTGGTGCTTCCATTCACATTTTGTAAAATTTATTTGGCATTGTTTTCGTTTTAAAACGAACTATCAAAAATGATAATTTAATTTCAAGTCTCGTGCAACTTCGTAGTGAATTTCATCGCAGAAACCTTTTGGAAATGGTGAAAATTTTATCGAAATTACATAACCTTCATCAGTAAAGAAGAACAAGATATTCCAAGAATTCATCATTGCACTACAAGCTGTCTTGTATGTCTGCAGTGAAAGTTAAAGATGTTGATGTGCCATTCCATATTGAAACAACCAATAATTCTAGTCAACAGCTGAATTCAACAAGTACTGCAACAATGAAGAGTCATTCTAATAACAATAGCTTGTCCCTGCTTAACCATATCAAATATCAACATCTTTTGGCGGGTGTTTCAGGAGGAGCGATATCCACGCTCTTACTACACCCTCTTGACTTGATGAAAATTAGATTCGCAGGTGAATTAAGGTTTTATAAATAAGATTCTTTAAACACAATGGATGTGCTGTTGCAGTCAGTGACGGTCGTTCTGCAGTTCCTCAATATAGCAGTTTATCAAGTGCATTTTATACTGTGGTCCAACAAGAAGGGGTCAAAGGCTTGTATAAGGGAGTTGCACCTAATGTATGGGGATCTGGTAGCGCATGGGGCTTCTACTTTCTCTTGTAAGTGTTCTTGTGAACATTGTCTAGTTAATGTACGCCCATGGTTTTTTTTTCATTTTAGCTATAACTCCATAAAAAACTATATTCAAGCCGGCGATAGCCGATATCCATTAGGCCCTACCCTCCACATGTTAGCAGCAGCTGAAGCTGGGGTGCTCACGCTGCTGGTAACAAATCCAATTTGGGTGGTCAAGACTCGTTTATGCCTGCAATATGGCATTAGAGGGAATATTCCACAAGATTCCGCTACATTTTATAACGGAATGGGAGATGCTTTAGTTAAAATTTACAAAACCGAGGGGTTGCGAGGTTTATATAGGGTCAGTCTGCCAGGGATGGCACAAAATATGACTTAAGAACAGTCATAGTCGGGTAGGGATTTGGAGTTTCCTTTTCTGATATTTGTAGGGCTTTGTTCCTGGTATGTTTGGGGTCGTTCATGGGGCAATTCAATTTATGACATATGAAGAAATGAAAACATTTTACAACCAAAAACGCAAACTACCCCACGATAATAAACTGGTAAGTTAAAAAAATAGCCTCCTTTAGAAGAATTTTAAGTAATTTGTATTTGCAGACAACAGGGGAATACATTGGATTTGCAGCTATAAGCAAACTGTTGGCTGCCGCGTCAACATATCCTTATCAAGTATTACGTACTAGACTGCAAGATCAACATCACAATTATAAGGGAACAGTAGATTGTATTAAGAAGACTTGGAAATATGAACGAATTAGGGGCTTTTATAAAGGACTGGCACCTTACTTACTGCATGTGACTCCCAACATCTGCCTAGTCATGCTTATATATGAGAATTTCACTAACTAAAACTTAGCTAAATAATATTTAATAAGGATTTTCTTTAAAATGCATTATCAACAGAAGTTTTTTGTAGTACTAATTTTTTAGGCCCCTTTAACACCCTTCGAACCCCATTTATTTTCTCATATTAATTAAATCTGAAAGTGATTGAATTAATTGGCATGTAATGACAATTTTTGAGTCTTGATTTTATGAAATTATAAGGAGGGTATAAAATAGACGGCAATAAGTTTATCACCCTAAGAAATTTAGATTTAGAGAATAAGGCTTGTGATTGGGTTTTTTTTTTATAGAAGTTGATTTTTTATTGCCCTGTGAAATGATATGTACATGTGAATACCATTTTTAACAACAAACTGAATCTCTTCTATCTACTACAGATTGAATTTTTGTTGATAAGTTGTGTTCTAAAGAAAGTTTTAGGCAAATTTTCAATTAACTTATTTTTTCCTTCAGTTAGTTACCAATTCAATTATTAATTTATACGTTATACTGTAGGGGCCGCAAAAATGTGACATATCATGGAAATGACAAGCAAATAAATTACCCATATTTTTTTATGAAAAAAACTTGAAAATTGGAACATTTTAGGTGTTGTTTAATGTCTTAGTTATATTTCTTTATAATAAATTATTATATTGTTTAGCCTAAACTAAGTTATTCTGAAAATTACTCTTAATTTACATACCGCGAGCTGTGTAAAGCAAGTTGCTATTGTAAAAATAGTTCCATAAATTATTTTTGTATCGAAAAATATTGAGGAAGGTGATTTGTTAGTATTTTTTCTGTTTGAGCAACGTTAAGAAATAAATGTGATTTTTAAAATTACATAGTTTCATTTTAATCAGTTTTACAATTTTAAAAAAGAAAAAAATGAGTCCATAAATAACACTAACGCCTTCTGTAAGCAGTGGAGAAGGAAAACGAAAACAAAATAAATCAAAATTCAAATGAAGACTAACATGTCAAGCAAGTCACCAACGAAAAAATTTCTACGAAGGATTTCATAGCGCAGGCAAAAAATGAAACCAAATATTCTCAGCTTCATATTCCTCAACATTCCAAACAAAAAAATAATTCTATCGGAGAGGCTACATAAGGGATCCTGTGGAAAAAGGCAACGCTTCAAATTATGGTGATTATGTTATTTTTCAGAACAATAATTAACACTTATTTTAAAGCGAATATCAACTACATCACGAATCAAAGAAAAACGGGTCAAACAGTAAAAGTGAATACAAAAGTCCATTAACCATATTAATTGTGAAAATTGAAGAAAATACGATCAGTTTAAAAACGTTCTTGGTGGAATACGATGCGAGATTAAGATCAATGAGGAAAATATCAACACCTACGCTACAGAAGAAAGAGGTCAAATGCTGCATTGATCACGAAACGCTTTTCGTGAGTTCAGATTTACAAAATATGTATTATTTATATAAATTTCGCTAAGAACTGCGCAATAACTTTTGCAAAATCATTTTAAACAATTTAATTGTTACGCGTTTACACTATGGTAAAAATTATTCAATACTTTCCCTTATAAACCTGAAATTGTATGGTAAAAAGTACACACATAAATACGAAATTGCACAATACATTGGTAAAAAAGGTTGAATTAAATAGTTTCAACGTGTTTGATTCTCAAAATTTCCTTTTTACCGATTCTTCAAGATAAAAAACAAGGAGGGGAATTTTTGTTAGAAAGAAATCCGTTTCAAGCAGAAAAATATGTTGCTTGAAAGTACTTCTTTCAAAAAGAATGAAGGAAAGTTGGATAGTTTGGTGTTTAATCTGAATAAATCCAAGCCAGGCCGCTAGGTCGCCTAAGTGGATAAAATAAAGGGGAACTGCGGAGGCTTAACAAAAAAGTTTCGACACTTTTGGTTCACAAAATTTCCTTTATGTGATCGATTATAATTTGGGTAAAATAGAACCGCGAATGAACTTTCTGACAGAAAAATATTCTGCCAAAAAAATTTTTTAAGGCATAGGTTTACGACGCATTAACAAGAATTGTATAGTCATTGAGTGTTTATTCTGGATCAAAAAATATCGATTACATAACTAGTTATTTTCTACATCTATTTAAATCTACTTAAAGGCACAGCAAGCGTACTTCACGTACAGAGGTTATATCCTAATCTAAGTTGTCTTCAGTTTACTGTACAAAATAACAAGCTTTCTTATGAAACCAAAACTTAATGTAACAGAACTTCGAAACGGCAGATAATAAAACTATTATTAAAATTAGAAAATATATATAAAACTCTTCACTTTTTACAAACGCTTTTCCAAGGAATTCCAACAGGTTTAGAAAAAAAAAAGTAACAAAAAAAAAACGGGCAGACGAGACGACAAACGGGAAACCATTAAGTACATTTAGGAACACTTCATCCTTCTCAAAAAGTATTTCTTCCACCGTCAATTCGAGTATTCACTTAAAAATTGAGATTCAATCTAATGTTTAGTAAGATATAATGCAGATCTTTAGCAACCCTTCACATAAATCTTGAAACAAAGAAAGTAGTAGAGGATAGGTACAGAACTTTATCTGATAGTTTATTAGGTATAATTATTAGATGATTCTCTTAAATACTTATACTAGGTTGCTTTGGCTATCAAAGGGGTTGTGGAGTTCTAAAAAACTATTGGGAAATGGAGAGTGTAAATTTTAAATTTAAAAATTTGCACTTAGAATCTTATTGCCTAACGATTCTTAAAGTTAGCGAAAATAATTCAGACAAATCATTGACACGGTCTGCCAATATTAAAAACAAATTATTAACTCAAAACAGAGGATTTCCTCACGGTATAATCACACTTAGAAATTTTAAAATCTGACTAGACCCAAATAAAACTAAACGGTCTAAACCTCGTTCTCTTGAAAGCAAAAAAAAAATTAATTTGTTAGATTTTTGGAACTGAGGTAACAATTAATACAGGATTGATTGGCCAATTTAAATACCTTTTGAATATCTCCGTACCTTAACCTTCAAAAATTTTGCGACCTTTTCCTTTTAGTATCCATGGCATCTAAGATCGGTTGTCGTTTTGCTTGATATCGCTTACGCAATTCGTCTATTTCTCTCTCCATATCGGCATCCAAAGTGTTCATTCTTTGTTGCAATTCCTCGTAAGTTAAATATTTCAGCTGAAATGCAGTATATGCTGAAGAAGTTCAGCAAGTCGACAATCGCAAGTATAAATATAACACACTATTCGAGTTTTGGTCAGTAGCAACAGCAGCCACCGTGTATAATCAGTTAAAAAGATATAGGAAGTACCAGGACATAGTGAGTGTCCTATTAGACGGTTATGGAGAATAACTTACGGTAAAAACCTGAAATGTTGGTGACTTACGTAAGCGAATATGAGCTACCTATGTAAAATATTTTTGGCCAGGGCCTTTTGTTTGTCAAATTGAACAATTACTACATTTTTAGATTCTGCGAAACATTCTTTAACTTTCTTATGTACCAATACCTATCTTGAACATTTTCCGAGATCAAAAATACTTTTGCGGGTCCCTATTAAAATGCTTTATAATAATATAGTATGAGAATTAACTTATCGCGTACAGGTCGTTCATAAGATAAGGCCCAATTGGCAAGATAAAAAAATCCATATTACGTGGGAATTTTAAATGGAACACTGCATATTTTATACTGGCACGTAAATGTGCAATTAATTTGCCATCTAAATGTACCAAACTATGGTACATCTACTTTCACTGGAGTTATAAGCAAAAGAACAAAATATTGCAATTAAAGCGAATTAAAGTAATCACATTGTATTTGAGCAGCAGGCTCTGGCCGGCCATGGCCATCTTTGACATAAATAAGCTTAATACTCCGTTATTAGCGTGTTCAAAGGAGTAATTATAACAGCGAAACTGGAAGGAAATACATATGCCAACAAAAATTTAATACTCATGGAAATTTATATGCACAAAGCTAATGTTAAAGACTAATAAACAATTAAAAATTGTTTTTAATTACATACAACTAGATATCAAGCTTGCAATGACATCGGTGAAAATAGATATGCCATAGCTTGGAACTTTTAGATAGCAAATTAATTGCTCACTTGCGTGCCAATATAAAATATGGGGTGTTCCATTCAAAATTTCCACGTAACAGAGATTTTTATATCTTGCCAATTGGGCTTCATCTAATGAACGCCCTATACGCAAACCGTTTAAGATAGGTATGGTACATGTTACACAAAAATGTTCCAGAATGTTTCGCAGAATCTAAAAATGTAATAATATAGAGAGAGTGCAATTAAGGAAGGAACGTTGTTATACGTTAGGAGTATATCTGCCAACACCGCACATAAAACAAATAAAAATGTGGCATATATATTTTGCAAAAATACTCACGAATTCAAAATCTCCGTCTGAAAACGCAATATGAACCTGCTTTTGTTCCAGGGCTGGCGATTCCTGTTGACACATGCTTTGAACTGGCACTTGAATTTCTTTTTTTGGCATTTCTGGTTGAGTTTGCTGGACTTCTGGGGCAGACGGGCTAGGTGCATCATTTTCAGACTTTTCCTCTGCTTCGCGTTTGACAAAGTGCTCCAAAAACATGGGCCTGTATTTGTTTCCACTACTTAAAGAGTCCGTGTCATGTCCTGCAAAATTTGTATGCTGCATGTATAATAGAAATAAAAAACAAAGCAATAATTTATACTTTTCATTGTTTGATCGTCTATGTCATTATTTATCACCATGGTACCTAAGTTCGATTCTAACTCTACTAGTGTCCCGCTGGGGCTAGACGGAACTAAAGTACCACCTTTATCTGGTACCAGAGTACCCTCGTCAGCGCATGACAAAATTGTTTGGTTACCATCATCAACATCATCCTAAGAAAACTTTATAAATAGGAAAACTTTAATTTAATCGAATAATACTGACGGAGTCCGCCACATTATTTTGTCTCAGAGGCCCAGAAATATTTGTGACCGCCGAGACGCTTCGATTCGTCTGACTTTCTCGTATATCATGTGCTTCTTGTATCATTGAAGTTAAAATATTTGGCGCTTTCGCATTGCCTAGAAACAACAACAAATATCTCAAAATTCATTTGTACATGGAACATTGCGCAATAACCGCACCTACAAAAACATGGCTTAGAAGATCAGAGGCAGTAGCACGTTCTTCTGGATTTTTAACAAGACAAACACTAACAAAGTCTATAAATTCAGGAGACCATTTATCTAGCTCCCTAAATGATGGCGGGGGTTTGGTGGGAATCATAAATATTGCCCTCATAGGATGAATATCCCCATATGGAGGTTTGCCTTCGGCCATTTCTAAGGCTGTTATACCTAGACTCCAGATGTCTGCCACACAATCGTAACCTATTTCTTGAATGACTTCAGGGGCCATCCAAAAGGGTGTGCCTAAATATGATTTGGAATGAAAAATAATTAAAGCAAAGAAGGCTCACATACCAATAACCGTATTACGCTTGGCCATGGTATCAGTCAATTGCCCAGCAACACCAAAGTCTGCCAACTTTGCGTGTCCTTCGGAATTTAGAAGGATATTGCCGGCTTTAATATCTCGATGTATTTTTCTACGTAAATGTAAATATTCTAACCCCTTTAAAGTATCAGATAAAATTGTTGCAATTTCATCTTCAGTCAATGTCTTTTTACGTAACCTCATAATATCTGAGACGGAACCAGCCCCACAATATTCCATCACAATCCATAGGTCTAAAATTTTTTGAAATATAGAAACTTAGGTACAAAATCCTACAATTTCAGCAACCAAATGTACAAGCTTTTATTTTCAACAATAAACGCCATAAGAGATTCGTTTGCGAAATGGTTTTCAATCATATTTCGATTTTCAACAAGACAACATGAAAACAACTACAAAATTATGATAGAATGAAACAACATGACTAGTTGAATAAACAATTGAAAGCAAGAAAAAAATCAATTTTATCTATAGGAGCATTATTATTACATCTACCAACACAATGGTGATCTCTTGAGAGAGGGCTGGATATTATTAGATTTCGAACTTATTTATAGTGTTCCTAATTTTATTTTCTATTTCGCATTGGCAACCGAATTTGTTCCCATCAACCATTATTTCAAAAAATTGTAAATAACTTACCGGTATTTTTAAAATAACTACCATAATACTTGACCACATAAGGGCTGTCACATTGCTGCATAATTGATATTTCTTTGATAATTTCTTGAAGATCTGTGTCTACAGGTACTTGTTTGATTGCTAATACTTGTCCTGATTCTTTGTGGAGAGCCTTATAGACACTACCATATGAGCCTTCTCCGAGTTTGCATATTATATCGAAGACTTCTTCTGGTTGTCTGGTCAAACTTTCTTCAGACAGTTTTTTTAACTCACTGAAATGAACATGAGATGTACTGAACAACTTAAAACTTAATCAATAATGGAATAAACTGAGTTCTTAACTGCATAATTATTAACATTACAACAAATTACCCATATCTACATCTAATACTCATGTTGAGTAAAAACTACAAAAAAGCCTACTTGACCAATCGCAAATTTGTCGCTCATCCAGATAAATGATTTTTAAAACGTGTGATTTTAGATGTTTTTTATATATAGTAGATAAATTATATCATAGTGGAATAAAACTTAACGACAAAACCAGAAAAAATAAAAAATCTAAGCTGATACGCGGATAGGTTAACTTATAAAAAAATACCGTGCAACGACAGAAACGTGGAAACAAGTGCCCTCACCTTTTGGAAGACATTATAAATTACGTGAAGTAGCAAGTTTTATAAAACACATCGAATAAACATTTCATTTTTAAGAAAAACGCTTTTTATGCTACATTATTTTGTTGTAACCTGAACTCCATGTTGACTTGCCACAGAACACAGACTTGTAACAATCGCAATCACGTTGCCAGACTTCTATTTAATATTGTAAATACTCCACGACAATATCTATTCAATCCAATAAAAAAAGTAAAACATCCTAATCGAAGATAGTCTAGCTTAACGATTAAATGAAACTTAATTAAACATCATGATGTATGAGTGAAACATTCGCAACAGCCTACTAGGAACTTGGTGCTAAGGACATTCTTTAAATATTTGATTTCTACAGAACAACTTTGACTTTCTGTTTAATTTAAGCTTTAATAAACAATTATTCAATGCGGCCTATACTCTTGGCTAACCGCAAATAAGTTTTCTGTTTCGTTTTGTACAAGAAAGAACTTAATTCCATAAAGTGACTAGCAATTAGTTGTTGGTTTTCTTTACAGAACAGATACCGATAATAATTTCGTGGACAATTTCCATTGCATAATTTAACTCTTTTAAATAATATGATATAATGTGTATGGATACGAGACTCTATGATAGGATAAGCAATAATCATTTCAAATTAAGATAATAAAAACAACGCAATGTGTGTTGCATAAGAATGCTAAAATTATTGCAATTGATCCTGCTGTTTATATCACCAGAAAACCGCTAGATGGAACTAACCGACAAGGTGAAAATGTATCTTTCAAATTTTTAAGTTAAAAAAGAATCCTAATTTTAAATGCTGTTCGTTAGTGATAAACAACCTAGTAACTCCGTCAAAATTATTTTTTAAAGCCATTTTTAAAATTTATTACATAGGAAATTCGTCTGAGAACAAAATGCATGGAAAATTCAATCATGTACTAGGCTAGTTTAATAAATGAGAAAAGAAGAAAAGAAAAGAAAATTACCCTAGAATAGTAAAAAAATGCAACTGTATCCAATGATAATTCAATCACCCAATAAAAAAAGTTGTGAATAAGTCCAAACCCTGTTCTGGTCAAGCCGTTCAAAGCCTTAATGTTACAATGCATTTATTTTTATTATTACTATTTTTTTTATTCAGCCTTTGTCATTCAAAATACTACTTGTCTGGTAAAATTCTTAGATGGTTTTCCTTGTAAGTTTAAATATAGGTAATTCTTAGTTTTGTTGTAGCTGTTTATTTGTTCAAATTTGTTCTGTGAGAATTATATACTAGTTTTTTGGATAGATTGTAATGGTTGGAATTCTATAACAACGCAAGCAAGGTAAATGCAGTAACATATTTATAGTCAATGGATTTAGTAGAACAATTAATATATTAAATTATAAAAAAGCAAGGTAAGACATTATAGGAATTATATACATACAATGTGTAAACCCGAAAGGCTACATATAATTTTTTGGGGAGATATAATTCCTGCATTACCAGCCCGCCAAGCATGTATATACGACACAGAGTTTAATAAAACTCACCACAATTTAGTATATGATACCTCATAAAATAGATTTACTAGACCAACAATTCGGTTCAAGTGAAAAAATAGCTAATATTATTTGAATCTTGATTAAACCATCTAGTTCCATCTTATCTATTTTTAAAGTTTGCCGCTTTTTTTTTTAACACATAACAAAAGCGAATAAATATATAATGAAGAAGTGTGAGTGTTTTAAAAAGATGTTCTCTGCTATGAACGGGATCTAAAAACTAGATCTACCCCTGTCCTTCATTCCCGGTGTACAAGACCACAAGGGATATAAGTATAAGCATATAAGGAGTATATTAAGCAATTTTTAACTAATTAACTACAAATAATTATTTTAATGCACCTTACGGTTACACAAGTAGGTGCACTTTTAAGACCGTTGCAAAATCCTAAGATGCTATATATTCTCCACATTGACAGATGCTACATCTAATCGCTTGGAGGCCTTTAAAATGTGGTGCTATCGCCGCATGCTCAGGATATCATACTCCTACCATGTCACAAACACCACCGTGATCCAGCGAATGTAAAAGCAACTCGAAGTCATACATAATATAAAAGTGAGGAAGATATCAATTTATCCAACTAATCTTGCAGCGCAAGCCGGCTGTCAACAAGATTGTATGGACGAACATGATTGTCAACATCCATAGAGGATAGGCACTAAAAGAAGAAGAATAATAATACTTGGGGATTATTCTTTTTAAATCTAACTAAATAACATTATCGATGAAAGAAAAATTAGAAATTTCCCTATTGCAAAATCTCGTCCGTTCGTGCAAATTGTCCGGTAACCACATTTGGTCCACCTGAACCCGAGGGCTCTGAGCTGGCCGTTGCGATGTGAAGCGGAGAATCGTCGATATATATCCACCCGCACTGAAACCTGTTATTACCCAGATCTTAAGCATTTCGCTTGGTCATTGTCCGACGCCACTGTTAAGGTTGGTCCCCATCGCTGCGTTCCGCTCAACTTTTTTTTTGCGTTAAATATTGGACCATCCGCATCGCCGCTTGACGCAATGTAATATTATCATTTTTTTGTACTGTCAAGAAATCTACTAACTAACAAGACTATCAAACATTAGTTTTTATTTTTATGGTCCGTCCTATATATATATATATATATATATATATATATATATATATATATATATATATATATATATATATATATATATATATATATATATATATATATGATGACACTATATTCCGGGATATCATCCGTTCGCTCGTTGAACTCCGACTGGAATCCTGCATCCGACTGGAATCCTGCAAATCTTGCATCCGACTGGAATCCTGCAGACGTTTCGCCAAAATCTCACTTGGCATCTTCAATGCTCGCGCTCCGAAAACACTTCGAACACAGTGTTCGAAGTGTTTTCGGAGCGCGAGCATTGAAGATGCCAAGTGAGATTTTGGCGAAACGTCTGCAGGATTCCAGTCGGATGCAAGATTTGCAGGATTCCAGTCGGATGCAGGATTCCAGTCGGAGTTCAACGAGCGAACGGATGATATCCCGGAATATAGTGTCATCACATTTTTCCATCCGTGAATCAATACGTGAGAATATATATATATATATATATATATATATATATATATATATATATATATATATATATATATATATATATATATATATATATATTTCACCAGGTTATAATAATTTTATTGTTCTGTACGAAACCAGCTTGGGATTTTTAAAAATTATCAAAAATGTTATAACATTTTTAAAGTCAAAAATTACATAATAACTTACATAATAACGTATTTTTCAATTCATATTGTAGTGAGTTATTACAAACAAAATTCTCCAAATTTTTCACAGTCGAATGGAATTAATAAATAGGAATAACAAATTGTGGTTAGTAAAAAATATAAATTTATATCATTCAAATTAAACTTACATACTTACTATTAATTCGGATTCGGAAATGACCTTATCTCGAAAGGACCGGAATTATAATATGATAAATCATATATATAACTTTTGGTGGAAGGGACAATATAATAAAAAGGGCACATTATGAACTATGAGATTCAACGCAATAACAGGCTATCTAAAATCAAGACTTCACTTAGAAGAATCGTTTTCGACTTTAGCCCAAATATTCACCAATTGAAATAAAAAATGCCAACAACTGCCCGCTTCGTCAATTAATTAATTAATTAAAAGTATGGTTAATTATTTCAGTAATGTGACAAGTATGTTCTAATCTAGACCAAACTATACCTGATTATGAAAAACTAAAATCTAATAAATAATAAATGAATAAAATGGATGAACGAATAATAAATGAATAAAATAAAAAATGTATATCTATAATCAAAATTTCGTTTGTTACTTTCATATTTTTCGTTATACCATTTTAAATTTAATTTAATTTAAATTTAATTTTTTCGTTTCTTATTTTATATAATTTTTGACTTTTGTCCTTACCATTTGTTAATATAGTTTTTGTCACTAGTTAAAGTTGCCTAGGTAAGAAGTGATTTTTGATTTTTCTTAGTTGTATTTATTAACAAATGATAACCTCAGGATATAATATAACAATATAACAAAAAGGGCACATTACAAACTACAAGATTCAACGCAATAACAGGCTATCTAAAATCAAGACTTAGACAAAGAATCCTGCCAACAAATGGTCATTTCGTCAATTAAGATTAAAAATCCTTGCTCTGATAATTAAAAGTCTGGAAAATTAATTTAATAAACTATACCGGATTATGAAAAACTAAAACCTAATAAATAATAAATAATAATACTAAATGAATAAAATGAACGAATGAATAATAAATGAATAGAATGGATGAATGAATAATAAATGAATAAAATAAAAAATGTATATCCATAAATAAAAGTTCGTTTGTTATTTTTATATTTTTCGTTATGCCCTTTTAAATTTAATTTAATTTTTTCGTTTCTTATTTTATATAATTTTGACTCTTGTACTCATCTTTCGTTAATATAGTTTTTGACATTAGTTGAAGTTACATTGGTAAGAAGTGATTCTTGATTTTCCTTAGTTCTATTTATCAACAAATGATAACCTTTTTGTAAATCTTTCTACTAAGAGATATTTTAGTTGAGAATACTAAATTATATCTATATTCTACCCCAAATTGATAAATAAACTTTGTTCTTATAATTTTTAACACAATCTGTGAAAAATACAGGTTTTTATACGTCAAATTAAATAAATTAAAAACTATATATCTCTACCTTAGCAGACCTTGTTTTCCTTCTTATTTTCACTTCGTTTGGTATTTTTATATTTTCCATTATACCCTTCTAAATTTAATTTAATTTAAATTTAAACTTTTCTTTCTTATTTTATGTAACTTTATATTCAAACCATTCAGCAATATCTTCTTGTTTTCTTTTTAATTTATGAATAATGATATAAAACGAATGAGTTAAAGTTATACTGGCAAGGAGTGTTTTTTATGTTTTCTTAGTTGTATTTATCAACAAATGATAACCTTTTTGTAAATATTTTTACTAAGGAATATTTTAGTTGACTTTACTGAAGCATTTTATTTTTTGCTTTTTATTATATATTTTACAGGGGTTGGCAGCATTATACTGTAATTCAATGTCATAAATAAATTTTATTATTATTATTATTAACTCGATCTGTGAAAAATACGTCAAATTCATTAAATTTAAAAAGATATATCAGTAAATTAACTTTAGTTTTATAACTCCTTGTCTACGTTGCTCTTCTTATTGCCATTTCGTTTGTTAATCGTATATTTTTCAATATACCCTTTTAAATTGAATTTAGTTTCATTTTAAAATTAAACTTGTTCTTTCTTATTTTATATAATTTCAGCATTTTATCATTACCATCTATTAATACAATTAATCCTCAGTCTTCTTTTTAATTCATCAATATTTATATAAAACGAATGAGTGAAAGCTACACCAACAAGAAGTTTTTTTTTGTTATTTTTTTAGTTCTATTTATTAACAATTTTTATAAATATTTCTACTTCTACTAAAATATACTTTAGTTAACTTGACTGAGAAGCTTTCGTTTTGACTTTTTATCATAAATTTTCACAATATGGCAGTGTTATATTCAAACTCAACTTGATAAATAAACTTTATTATTTTTTACACATCAAAATTAAAAAATCAACATAAGTCTCATCAGCGACACAAAATAACAATTATAAAAATGCAAAATAATTTAAATGACCAATTTAATTTTTACACAACAGTAGAATAAAGAATTACTGACATTTCTATAACCACATTCATACACACGAAATGGAAGAATTTTATAATATTGCATAACTCCTAATTTCTAAACATTCTATAGTCAAATATACAACATAAACATAATAAAGTAAGTAAAAGTTTAAAATGTTGTTTTGTAAATCCATATTGCGTTCACGCGACTGTCAACAAACGCATAAAAATTAATTTATCGTTGGTATACGCTGTACCATTTTTACCCACAATTCCTAAAAGCCGGGCAATTAAATAATAACAAAGAAAAAAAATCAGAAACATCGTAAAAACCGCAGAAAAAAAGCAAATTATTATCTATCGAAAACTATAGAAGGGGTCAGCATTGCATTTATTCTTATACGGATGAGGAAGGGCATTCAGTTGACGGGTACCTCTTGAACTATCACCACTAAACACGCACACCGTGGAATACCGAAACTCACGTGGTATACCGCAACACCTGCGCATTATACGACCGCACGCGTTTGGTATACGATCTTTTCGAATTTTATTTTTATTTTTTTCATTTTCGATCAATGAAGAAGATAATTAGTACATCTAAAATTTAACTAAATGAACGACAACGGTTAGCGAACGATGTGGTTTTTTGTGTGACTTTTGAACGGCTGTGGTGCGCAATTGTGTTTAGTTCCTGTTTTCTCCCAATTTTTCGATAGCCAAAATGTTTACACGGTAATTATTTTAAATTTATTTCTCTTCATTATGCTTTATTTTTGTGTTTATGTCGTTTATGATGATACAGGTTTAGTTGTTGCGAGGCAACAATTTTTTTGGCGCCAGTCGGCAACAAACATGATTAATATATTGTTTATCGACAAAAGAATAACAACAAGATTTACTATATGCACGCGATTGAAAATTTATAGACGTTGGTATAATTACATTGATCGCAAACACAATCCATAAATTTGAACAGCACAAAAAAAACCTTGAATTAAAAATTCGTCATTTCGAAGCGCATAAAATAATTTAAGCTCATTTTTGCGAAAAATAACAAAATAGAAAATAAAATAGCCGCGGAAATGTAATTTTTTTTTTTGGGAGACTTCAACAGTGCGTTAGACGACATATCCGTTCTGATATTTTCAAATATCGATAAAAATTTACATTAAAACACTTGGCACGGAAAAAATGCGATGCATGCCATAAAAACAAGAAAAATAAATCCTAGAATTTAACGGCAAAGTATAATTGCACAAAGCCGATGTGCAAATGATGCGATGTATGAGATAATTTTGTAAATATGTGCTATAATTATACGGTTCTCGAAGAAATGCCATAGTCACCTTTAGCAAAATTAATAGTTTGGGTTTTCAGATGTTTACGTAGAAAATAGAAAATTATCTTCGTAATAATTATACTTTATTCTATGTATCATCTCCCACAATTTTCCCGGTAATGCAATGCGGATTTGCAATTTATTGGAGCTAAACATGCGCGTTTGGGGAACATTTGGCGTTAGCCAGAATGCGCGTTTTGTGTTTGATTTTTTAAGAGATATTAAAACCCTGACGCCATTGAGTTTTATTTTTACAAATACGCAATTAAAATTGCCATTGCTTTACAGATATCGACTAATTGCAACTATTTGCAACTTTAAGCTGTATATAAAATTTAATTGTCTTCCTTTTATGTTCTGAAATACCGATAAGTTTTACGTTTTGAATGCACACTGGCATCGGTTATCCACTATCGGAACATAAGTCTTAAAAACACATAACAATAAATATCGCGCGAAATTTAATACTGCGACTAATCTATTGTGTGTATGCCGAAAACATTCAGGTTTCTTATAACTACTTTTCGGATTTATATCTAATAGTAGTCGTTGCTTGCAGGCAGTATTTTAAGCATCTCGCGAAAACCCAAACGTTCGCTATTGGCATTTTAATTTAAAGCCCCTCTATACCTATAAGAACTTTTGCCTTTAACTAATAAATTTACCTTTAGCTAACGGTAAGAGCATTTACCAGCAGTCATCTCTCTTTTACGTATATGGCGCACTGAAATTGTACACTACACGGGCTACTTTGCATATACTTAAGTTTCTTTGAATAGCAAACAATTTAATTCTAATATATAAAAAATACCAAATTTTAGATTCGTTTTCCGAATGAAAAAAATCAAAAACAATACATATTGCAAATAGAAGGAAGGAATAGGAAAACGATCGTTGAGCATAAAACTTTATTCAAAACAGCGCGGAATTCTCCGAACGCCATCTTATAGCAATGCATGTATGTACATATTTAAAGAAAAAAATCGGGAACCCTCGTGGTATGTGGCAAGCAAGGGCATCACTGCTGGTACCATATTGAATTATCGACCATGACTGGTTAAAAGCAAAATAAAATCGTTACAATGTCTGCTTTAAAACGTTCCACCACAGCATTAGAATATTCATCATCTTCGAGTCATTTGGCAAGTTCGAAATTCGTTTTGTACTTTTAAACACCCCATATAACGATTAAAACGCACATACTTTAGCAGCTCGTAAGCGCACAAAATAATATACTAAATTATAGCGTGGGCAGAAAATTTGATATACTTAAATATTATTAAATACTTAGATATTTTTCGTTTGTAATATTTAGTGCCTGCTTTGTATTTAGTTTATACACTTATTGAAATAATAGAAAATCTTACCATTTTGATATCGTTGCGCGGAAAACTTTTATATTTTATATTTTATAATAACAAATATACAAAACAAGTTAAAACAACCAATAAAAAGCTTTCAAATTTTTACAATTTATATTTGCATTTTTTTAAAATTAAGTTCTACAAAAGACAAGTGTTCTGGATTTATTCTATACGACTGCGCCTCTTCCCTTTAATAAAGCGAAATTTCTAATATGAAAAAACCCAAAATATTTGAAGGAAATGCGACTATTTGCACAAGTCGGCAACGTCGGCCGATCCAGCCTGCTTAAGTTGAGGCAACAAGGATTTAGCAATAAATGGATAGTAGGCGCGTGTAGTGACCCAGTGTGCGCAGAATGCCATGCGCCCATATTCGATGTTACGGATCTGACAAAGCGGGGGAGGAACAAAGCGCGAATACCGCGAGCGTATTCTAGCCTCGGGCGGTGCGCTGTTGCCACTTATCTCGGAAAATCGTTGGATTGCCGCAAAACTTTTAGCGGTAAATATAAAACTGCGCGTGCCGTCATATTTGGCGAAAAACCATCTATAAATAGTTAACGTATATCTCTCTCTCTGGCGGTTGTTGGCCTGTCGTTAATTTTCAGTTGGAAAATTTGTGATGAAATTTATAGTTCGCTTCGAAAAATTACAATTTTAAATTCTGCGGTTTATGGACGTTTCGATAGGCGTGGTAATGATAAATTAATAACTACTTTGGCTAGGCAATTATTTATGACCGGCGCAAAATAATATTTTCTAGCGACACTCGGTGCAATAAGTACGTAGCCGATTGATTTAATGATTAATAAATTTAAATTATGCTAAATCGGCGTTTTAAAAAATGCTTGGGTCGCGAAACGTCTTGCATAATGGTTGGACCGTCGATTTCTAGAACGCGGTTATCGACCAAAATAAAATAATCGATAATACAACACCCGTGTTTATTCGTTACTTCGTTTAAGCGAAACACCTTGGTGGGTTTGACTAAGAGGCGTTTCCGTTCGCATTCCCCACCTCATTACCAGAGATTAATTATAATTATATCGTTTCTCCATAAATTTCTATTACTCACAGCGGCTAATAACTAGAATTCGTAACTATCTAACTATTCTACGGGACAAATCCTTACAGGCGTTCGCCAATATTCTACGCCTCCAGTTTTATAAATTTTACAGATTGTTGAAAACTATGTTTTTTATTAACTGCGCTAATTCCTGACCTTTCTACAATCTTTATCAAATCTTCTATCTTTCTTAAATGTGTAATATTAACAATAATATTAATAATAAATTTCCTTTATTGTTGTATATTGTTATATACAAACATACAGTAGAGAAGAATATTTGTTATACGTGTAATAATAATAATAACAATAATAATAATAATAATAATAATAATAATAATAATAATTTCTAACTAATAAGTCTAACTATGTTTTTTATTAACTGCGCTAATTCCTGACCTTTCTACAAATCTTTATGTCTATCAAATCTTCTATATTTTTTAAATTTGTAATATTAATAATAATAATAAATTTCCTTTATTGTTGTATATTGTTATATACAAACATACAGTAGAGAAGAGGCGAATCTTTATCTTTATCAAATCTTCTATATTTGTTATACGTGTAATAATAATAATAACAATAATAATAATAATAATAATAATAATAATTTGCCTTTATTTTTGTATATAGTTATACACAAACAAACAGTAGAGAAGAGGCGAAGTCTAACTATGTTTTTTATTAACTGCGCTAATTCCTGACCTTTCTACAAATCTTTATCTTTATCAAATCTTCTATATTTCTTATATGTGTAATAATAATAATAATAACAATAATAATAATACTTTGAATTTATTGTTGTATATTGTTATATACAAACATACGGTAGAGAAGAGGCGAAGTCTAGCAAAAGCTACTCCACTTAACCTCTTAAATGTTTGAATTGAAAACTAAATAGGAAGTTATAATTACATTGATAAGTTAAATATAGTATAATAGATAAATGTAATAGTAATATGGAACAATAGAAAGTTGCTAAAACAGAAAATAAAACGAATAACATTGAAAATCAAATCATTTGAGAAGTTAGCAATGTCAACCTGAAATATTTGTTAAAGAATTTAATTGAATATGATTTTACTATTAAAAATTACAACGCGTTATAAGAAAATGGTCTGCGGAACAAAGATAAACGATACCGTGACAGTGAGAATCTGTAGGGGTGCCTTAAAGCCACTGATTGAATATTACGAAACTATGATTCAGCTCGTAAATAGGACGGATTGGATGTGCTAATAATTTGGAAAGCCATAGACGCCAAAAAGTACTTGAAAGTACTGTCAATTTTTAGCCAGTTGAGTTCCTGGAGTTTTGTGGAAAATCCTAGCAAATTTACGCAAGCCGAAAATAAATCTGCAATAGCTGTTTTGAATTTTTGCAATCTATATTTATTAATACAAACAATTAACAAAGATACATGTTCCACGAATCTAAACCTACAATCAAATATAACACCAAAGTTTTTATTACAATTCACAATTTTTAAATGTTCACCGTTAATTAATAAATACATTTTGGATACTTGTTTAATGTTAGGTTTAGGAGAAAAGTACATTATACTGCATTTTTTAGCATTAAGTTGAAGATTATGCCTAGAAGAATATAGAAATAAGTTATGAAAATCCAAATTGATATAAATTGAAGCAATATCAAATAATTTAGGACTGAAGGAGTAAAATAGCCGAGTCTCATCAGCAAATGAATGCAAATTCAAATATTCGATGGATGTATAAATATCAGAAATATAAATTAAGAATAATATAGGTCCAAGGACGGAAACTTGCGGTACACCTGATGAGACAGGGAGAAATTCAGAACTTACATTATCAAGGGTAACTCTCTGATATCACATAAGATTATGGTCAATCAAAGGCTTTAGAGTAATCTAAAGATATAAGTGCAGTCGCAAGACCATTATCTAAAGAACTAATAATCTGACCGTTGATGTGTAAAAGTAGGC